ATGCTGGAACATGAGATTGGGTTTGAAGTTTTGAGGCTTCTTATCCTTAATAACCTCTGTTGATTCACAGATTATCTCTTCTTCAGATTCAGAATCAAGAAAAGTCTCTCGCAGATTTCTCGAAATCACTATTGTCATGGATGTTTGTGGGAGGAGTGGGTTCAGAGGTTGATGGTTGAGAGTGATCTGTTAGGGGTTCCATTGTTTCTGACTTAGATGAACTTCCAATATTACTTGGATGGTTCATCGATTCATCAGATGACAGTTCCTTACTAAGATTATCGTTTTCATCAACGGCATTTGCTGATGAAGTGGGATTGATGACCAGAGACTCTGATTTAACCATAGGGTTTCCATCGGTCTCTGGTGTGAAGGCATCGTTCCCTTTATCAGAATTCTTACATGTGCTGTTCTCGTACACCACGTTTTCAAAATCCTGTCTCAAGAGGACAGTTTTTCCATCGACTTTAACCCTTTTAAAATTTACTTTGGGTTTAGGGAAAAAGTCGGGTTTTTGAGTGCATCCAAGTTTGAAAGTGGATTCAAGGGTGGATTTTTGATTCGATGAAGGAGACCAATTCATTGAAATCCAATCCCTTGAGTGTCCTTTTGACCGTTAAGTTTTTCGTACACATCTTGGGCATCCTTATATTTCTTCCTCAGAAGTTCATTGATTTGAAGCTTTTGATGAAAAATCTCCCTTTCTTTTTGAAAGAAATCTTTGAGAGCGATTGAGTTGAGCCTCTCTGCCTCGGATTCTTTTAAGGCCTTCGCCTTCTTTTCTAAGTCCTTAGATATTTTCTTGTTCAAATCCAGAAGCTTTTCTTCCTCTGATTTTTTAAGAGAGGTGATGCGAGTCTTTTCCTTGACAAGTTCAGCTTTTTCTTCAGTTAGAAGATCAGTCTCTCTTTTGTAGAAACTGACTTCTTTTTCTACTTTTCTTCTTTCAGATTTTTCAAAATTTAATTTTTCTTTGAGTTTTAAGAAATCCTCTGAAAGTTTCATTACCCTTAACTCTAGCTTAGATGGAGCAGAGTTGGTTTCATCAATAGAAGACTCACATACCTGTTCATCAGAATCAGAGGCGGATTCTGCGTTGGACGTGGCCATAAGACAGATGAGTGCCTTGTCTTCTTCATCAGACAAATAATCAGACACCCAATTTTCTTTTTTCAGCCATCAGCCTTCGCTCTTTAGGATTGTATTTGTACTTATTCTTGTAATAGTCTACATCCTTCACTAGACGTCCTCTGCATTCTTTTGAAAAATGACTGATTTTTCCGCATCTGAAGTAGTGAAGGTCATTCTTTCTTCCGTCTCTGTCTTCTCTCTTCTCCTCTCTTATATCTTATTTTTCTTCTCTTCCCTCTCTTCTGTCTTCCATCTGATAGAATTTCGGTGGCTTCTTTTCATAGGATGGCTGGTACTTCTCCCTTCTGGAGTCTCTTCGTTCATAAGGCTTTTTGATGAACTTCCTCTGGAACTGTTTTGTGATCAAGGCCAGAGACTTGGCAAAGGCTTTGAGATCATCATCTGACTCGGATGTCTCGTCTTCAGATTCTGATTCTACTACTAGTTCTTTCTTGCCCTTTTTCTTGTGGTCTCTCGTGGAGGTCCTTGAAACATCCTTTTCTTCTACAGCAAGAGCAAGGGTCCACTGATGGATACTTTTCTCTTCATAATATCATTCTCTTGTACAACAAGTGTTCCATAGACATCATGCAATGACCAGCTGTCTAAGTCCTGATTTGCTTGGAGGGACATCGACAGATGTGTCCACTTATTGCCGAGACTTTTAAGAAATAACACGTTATTTTCTTCCTTCGTCCTGGAGATGTCGTTTCGACGACATTGATTGATCAATGTGTTGAAACGATCGTATGTCTTCTGAATCGGCTTATCAGGAAGAGCTTTGAAGTTGGTATACTCGTTGAGACATTGAGCTCTACGATTTTTTTTCGTTTTTGCTCCTCCTTCTAATTGACTTACCAGCTCATCCCATAGCTCCTTTGCGTTGGTGCATGCATCAAGGGATTGGAAGATTTCATTGGGAATGGCCATGATAATTAATCTTTTGGCCTTTTTGTCAGTTTCTACGTGCTCCATATCATCTTCATCCCAATTCTTCTAGTCCTTGGGCATGTAGTAAGCTGGAATTTCTGTTGTGCTGCTTGTTCTTGGGACTCTTGGAATAAGAGTCTGCGGTATGTAGGGACCCTCCATGACAGATCGTAGAAGGTTTCTGTCCATCCCTTCCAGAAAAGTTCACCATCCTTATCCTCCATTGTGGATACTCTTCTCTTTGAAGAGTTGGAGGTTTGGTGAGGGAACCAACACTATAAGCAGAATTCCAGTTGGCCATTGAAGATTTGGAAGAGAAAAATTACGCTCTTTGGAGAAGATTTTTATGAATTTTATAAATGAATGAAAAAGGCAAATTGAGAGTTTTTAATGATCGTTTTGATTGATAAACAATCAAGTGGCTCTTATACCAATTGTTGGTCTCAGATCTCTCAATAACACTAATAATTAAGTTAAGAATAACCTAATTATGTCGTGTGAATGAATAAAATGAAGAACACTCAAGAACAAGATATGAATCTTCAAAGAATATACTTGAGTGCAGGAATATTCACTTTATTCCAAAATGATAATAAAAGCGTTCAAAGCGTTAACTAATTACAGTAGGCCTAATCACCTATTTATACTAGTAGCCTAAACAAGAAGATAACTATCTAGTGAGACTATCTAGWAAATCTTCTAGGGAAAGATAAAGCTTATCTAGACATGGATAATAAACAAAACAAGATAAACTTTGTAGAAATCAACTGTCGATTGGTCATCTCCAGCTGTCTTCCATGGGGCGTTATTCAATCTTATCTTCATATCTTTATCGCATGCCTCTGGTTGAACTAGTGCAGAAACTTCAAGTGTTGGTAACCAGAGAAGCTATGAAGGTGCTTTTTCCATCGCACCTCTGGTCGATTCATCGACCCTCTGGTTGTATTAAGGACTTAGCCATTTTGCCTGGCAGTCTTCCATCGGCCTTCTGGTTCTTCATCACTTGTTGTTCTTCATTAGTTTTACACATAAGAATTATGGGATTTAACAAAATCATTATACATATTAACATATATTTTCTAGGATTACTCAATGGTTCAATAATATTAAATAATTCTATACATTATAAATGAACTAATAAGACATTAGAAAAAGTAAGAAAAATCAAATATTGTGTTATAAAAACCGCACATTAAGTCATGACGTGCCACATGTTTAACGTGACATAAGACACAAGTCTTAAGCCAACTGTTGCAACGAGTTTTTTTGAACATTGACCGAGATGCACCAGTTACCAGATCAATTCTCGTGATAAGTACAATTCATGGGATGTAGATAAGATTAAAATTGATCAAGTTCTCACCTTAACTCTTAGGTGGCGTTTGGTTTGCAAAATGTTTTTGGATTGAATGGAATCTTTTAAAGGAATTTGACTTTGAAGGAATTGGAATGGAATGTTGTCAGGTTTGACCACCTGTTTGGTTGGCAGACATTGGAATGAAATCTGTTAAGGAGTTGGAATATGTCTGTTTGGTTCACAGAATGTATCTTTAGAATTGGAATAAAATATTGGTAAACGACCAAAATGCCCTTTTTTAAAAATTTTAATTTTTTTAAAACTAAAAATACTTTAATAAAATAATTATTTAATATGTAAAACAATATAAAATACACAAACTCAAATATAATCATAAGCCAAACGACGTTACTAAATCGACAGTGGGTCCATAGTCGTTCAGATGGTGGTGGTTCGTAATGACTCAGATCGATGGTGGTCCGCAGTGGTTCAGATGGAAGTGGTCAACGGTGGTTCAAATAGGCGGTGACAGTGGTTGTTCAAATCGGTGGTGGTCGGCGGTGTCCGACGGTGATTCAGATCGATGGTAGTCGTCGGTGGTTGACAGTGATATAGATCGATGGTGGTCCGTTGTGGTTCAGGTGACGATGGTCAGATGTGGTTCAGATTGGCGATGAATCATATCGGTGATGGTCAATGGTGGTTTAGATCGACGGTGCTTCAGATCAATAGTAGTTGAAGGTGATTCAGATCGATGGTGGTCCGTGGTGGTTCAGATGGCGATGGTCGACAGTGGTTCAGATCAGTGGTGGTCCATGGTGGTTCAGATGACGATTATCGGCGGTGGTTCAGATTGACGGTGAATCAGATTAGTGGTGGTTCAGATCGGTGGTAGTCGGTGGTGGTGGTCGACGGTGGTTCAGATCAGTGGTAGTCGGCGGTGGTCGACGATGGTTCAGATCGGTGGTAGTCGGTGGTGGTGGTCCATGGTGGTTCCGATGACGGTTATCGGCGGTGATTCAGATTGACGATGAATCAGATCGGCGGTAGTCGACGGTGGTTTACTTTGGTGGTAGTCAGTGGTGGTGGTCGGCGGTGGTTCAGATCAATGGTAGTCGGCTGTGGTTCAGATCGGTGGTAGTTGGTGGTGGTGGTGGTCGACGGTGGTTCAGATCGGTGGTAGTCGGTGGTGGTGGTCGGCTGTGGTTCAGATCGGTGGTGGTCAGTGGTGGTTCAGATCAATAGTAGTCAAGAGATGGTCGACGATGGTCATATTGAGTTTTATGAGATTAGAGTATATTAGGTCAATGACATATTTGGTATAATGAAGATAGAGATTTCATTCCATCAAAATACCATGTAGTTTCTAAGGAATGTTTAATTTCTTTAATTGTGAAATTTATAGGATTTTGAAGATTCCTTTCGTGAAAAAGAATGAACCAATCAAGAGAATAGAATTTGATCAATAAAATTCAACATTCCAATTTCATCAGATTTCTTCAAAATCTGCAAACCAAATACCATCTTAAAGTTCTTGTAAACAATATGACTGATTTTGGTAATTTACTCGACTAAAAAAATTATATTGGTCTAAAAGAAATAGGCTCAAAAGGAACGTTCAAAAGATACGAGGAGAGGCGGCAACGAGGGTTAGGGTTTCTCTCAACCCCCTCATATTCCAATCGCTGCACATTTTTTCACCGCCTTCTAAAACCCATGGGAAAATGGGTGAAGAAGAAACCAGGACTGCCAAAAGCTGAAGAACTAAAATTTGATCCTTCCCCAATTGTTCTGAGCAGCGACGACGAGGCCGATGATGACCTAAGCTTGAAAATCGTTGAAAAAGCAATGTCAAGAGCCCGTGATAATAAAATCAATGGTAATCCTTCAGGATCGTCTTTGAAACCTGAAGTTATCATCACAAAAGTGAAGAAAAAAATAAAGAAGAGGAAGAAGGAGAAGATGGGGGTACAAGACAATGCTGTAAGCAGTTCGAATCCAGTTGAAAATTTGAACTTTTTTGTGTTTTTATTTTGACTTTTTCAGTTTCACTGTCTATTTGAGTCAATGCCTCCTTCAAATTGGGGAAAAGGTCACCATATTCATGCTATTCTGCATAAAATTGATCTGGATCTTATTTATTTCGATTATTTAGGAATCCTGTTTACTTGTTTCCTTTCGGGTAGTGGAGAGAATTGTAATTGGAGTTTTTTAGTTTACTGTCAACTTACTTTGCTTCGATTCCAATTAAAACAACCCCATGAATTGATGTCCCCAGATATTCCCTCGAATATTAGTAATAGTAGAACGTATCTTTTCATGAGTAATATTACTCTAAAGCAATTGAGTAAATATCAATGGCATGGTTGGATAGTTGGTTCGGAACAAAAATTAGGTCCATGGTGGTGGCCTCAATTTTATGACATATCTTGATTGAATAGGTTGACGATGTGGAGATAAAGGAGGAGGGCGGTGCACCAAAAGAGACTGACTTGACATCGGAGACAAATCCTTCGGAGAAATCTGATAATATTGTTCTGCGGAAGCTTCTCGTGAGTTGAATTAGTACCTTAAAAAGTCAAGTTGTAGCAGCTATAAATCAATGTCACATCTGATCTCTCTTAATGAATTTTTGTCTCCAGCGTGGACCAAGGTATTTTGATCCTCCAGATAGCAGCTGGGGAAATTGCTATAATTGTGGTGAAGGTGGCCATACAGCTGTGAACTGTACATCAGCTAAGCACAAGAAACCTTGTTTTGTTTGTGGGAGTCTGGAGCACAATGTGAAGCAGTGCAACAAGGTTAGGATGTGTAAAGAAAATATATCTCTTCTTCTGGTTGTTTTTAATATATCATCGTTATCATCAGGGAAAATATTTTGTCAAATGTCCATAAAAAGTGGATTTTTTGTGGGGGGTTGTTTGTCACAGACCATAGAAAAAAGAGGGTGAGGCTTTACAGAAATGTTATAATATTTTCCAATTTCTAACATTTAGAGCTCTGTGTGAATATGTATATCAAATAAGTAATTATGATTAATGAACAATGCGGTTTTTACCTTTTAAGCTCGTGTTATCATTTATACTTGTAGAGTTGTAGGAATGAAATTTGTTAAACATGGTTAGCAATCTAGGGGTAACTAGTACTTATGTGTTGAAGAATTATAAGGAGGGGATGCAATCACAAGGATTAAGTGGTTAATTCTTTGTATGGCAAAAAAATGCAAGCATGACAGTAAGGACGACTCACAACCAGGTACTGGCATGTGAGGGCCTCGAGTAATGGGTGGTGGGAAGTTTGAGTAAACTGTGAGTATGATCTCTTATAGTCTTGTACGATACGAATGATTCAAGATTGCATGCAATCATCTGGCCATAAAATGATCAGTTCAAACATTAACAGGACCAAGTTTAACCCCCCTGCTTTATATGTTACTGTTTTCTGAATTTATGCTGCATTGGTATCTCTTTAAGATTTTGTCACGCTTGCTTCCGTACCTCCTGAAGGTACACTGTTTATCCACACCGTCTTCCTTATAGGGCATTATATCCACAAGTTGTTGGATCAATCCATCTTTTACAAACTCAGGGGCATTTGGATTTCAAGGAATGGGATTGATAATGATTTATTCCATTCTATTATATTATTGGTGATTTCCTTCCATTAATAATGTTAAAAGAAAGAAAAAGAGCTTCCTCATTTCCAAGACAAAATCCCTGCACAACATCTTCGTCTCCATCATGTCTCGATCTTCATCTCCAATTCTCAATCACAGCAAGCATCTCCAACATATCTACATATCCATTTCCATCATGTCTTCATTTTTATCTACATCACAACAAGCATATCCAACATATCTCTAACACATCTCCATCTTATTTCATCTCCAAAACAAATTCGAAATCATCTTAATATCCTATTTTGTCTCTGAAAATGAAAATGAAAATCATCTTCGTCTCCTATACCCTCATTGAAGAAGGAAGCAGGTAAAAATTTCAATAGTGTTAACTAGTTACTGCTTTATGTTTGTCGTGTTGTCTTGGGAGGTTTACAAGAAGTGTATGTGATAGTTTAATGATTGTCATTCTTAATTTTGCATTTGTTAGAATATATTACACAATATCATATGTGATGCAATGTTAAAATACTTGGTACTCTTGATGATAAATTGTAAATCTTAATCTATATGAGTGTTTTTAGTACTGTATATTTAAAATCATATATGATGCACAATGTAACAGAAATGACATGTTCATATGAAGTCTAATCATTTGTGATTCACAAATGTTGTACTATGCATATGGTATTCACAATGTAATTGGTGTTCATGCTGTTCTTATTTTAATTATGGATACCAGATCAAAATTCTATGTTTCAATAGTGTTAAAATATACTTCTTCACAGTTAAGAGCTTTGCGGTAACATGTAGAGAACACTGTTAATAATTCTCTTGCTAGAAACTAGAAGACTTTATGAGAACACTGTATTTACTTTAGGGCTTTAGATCTTAAGTTGTGTATGTGCGGACTCGTATCCCTTTTATTTAGTCGGATTTTGCTGAAATTCTATAATATTTCTTTTGGCAGGGGAAAGATTGCTTTATCTGCAAGAAAAGTGGCCATCGTGCGAAAGATTGCTTGGAGAAATATGTTGTGGGATCACATACGTCTAAAATTTGTTTGAAATGTGGTGATTCAGGGCATGAAATGTTCTCATGCAAGGGCATATATTCTCCAGATGACCTTAAGGTCAGTACTGTCTCATAGTTAATGTCCTCTTTATCCATCTACATATGTGTACCATGCAAGTTTCTTATGAACAAGTATATAAAAGTTTCTTCAGTATATTAGAGCAACTCCTGACATGTATGGTCTTTGTCAGGAAATACAATGTTATGTTTGCAAGTCCTTTGGGCATCTTTGTTGTGTCAACTATGCTGGTGGTGGTCCAAGAGAAATTTCTTGTTACAGATGTGGTCAATTGGGCCATACTGGTTTGGTAAGTTCTTCTGCTCCTGTGTGAATTGAAGTTTTTCTGTTTCTCTTTATTTTATATTGTATTTTGAATGATGGAAGCTGGAAAGCATTTGCGAACAGATGCTTATTTCAGACCGACACCATACCTTATCATGACCATGCACCAAGTTACAAGTCTTGTTGAGATATACTTTAGTCGTTATTGTGCCTTTATATGCTTAGAGCTGTGTTAAGAGGCATCCATGTGTACACACATGAACCATTATTTTCTCATATATGGGATGGTTAATTTTTGTTTGATACATATATAGGCATGTAACATGTTACATGTATTGCAATTTGTCAAAGTGATATATGACATAATATTTGATTGTTTTCCATATTGTCAATATAGTAAGGTTGCGTTTGGTACATGGGACAAGATTGTTCCACGTTTGGTGCATCATGGGACAGGGGCTGAATGGGACAAAAAGGCTTTTTTTGTTCCTCTAAAATAGGTGGAACAAGAAGTTACAAGGATGGGACAGAACCAAAAAATTACCAATCTACCCTCATTTGATATAACCTTATTAAGGCATTTGGTTTAATGGTCATCCCCGCCCATTGCCGCCACTACCGCCTCCATAATCACCGCGTCCACCACCATCTGCTACCTACCACCATGCATCACCACTTCTCTCTCCAACACATTGGTCACCACCACCTCTACCTCCTCTAGAATCACCACTTCTACCTCCATATCCACCACTATCGATTGCCACCTCTACCACTATCATCGCCACCACCACCGATCACCTCTTCCACTACCATTGGTAACCATCATATGAAATCATTAAACAACATTTATGTGCAACTTGTCCAGCCCATTCCTGTCCGCATGCTACTTGTCCTGTCAAGTACTGACCTCTTTCCTGTCGTATGCGTACCAAATGCAACCTAAAAGAAGGAAATGAACATAGAAAATACAATAAGCTTGGAAGTTTTATTCCAAATGAGTTTCAAGGAATTCAACATAGAATAAACTCAAGCTCAAGGGACTATTTACACAAATTCAACTTATTTGATTGGATGAATTTGATTTATCTCGGCATATGTAAAAGAGGAAAAGGGAAAATGGTTCTTTTATCCAAGAAATTAATCAAAAACTGAAGAACCAATTGTTCAAAGCAACCATAATAGCAAATATGGCACCTATGTTCTTTCTTGTTGGGCCTAAAAGCTCACTGTATATGATGTAATTGCAGTGAGGATATTATTCACATTTTTCAATCGATGGTTTTCTGAAAAGCTTTTACATGTTATATTTAGTCTTACATGCCAATTTTTTTTTACAGGAATGTGCACGAGTGCGTGCAAAAACCAGTACAGAGACACCTAGTTCTTGCTACAAGTGTGGTGAGGGAGGCCATATTGCTCGTAAATGTACTAGTTCCGTTAAGGTAATTTATTTTCTTGCAAACTTTTTATTCTACTCCATCTGTTCCAAAAACTCCTACAATGAAAAATTGCACAGTTTTAGAAATGTGTAATTATCAGAACGGTTAATCAGCTAAATGGCAATTTTATCCTTGATAATAGATGAAATAATGGATTTATCCATCTTATAATTAACGGTAAAATTGGAAAGTAGGCACTTACTTTTGAAAGTGGATCCTTATTTTTGGACGAACTAAAATAGAAATATGGACACTTATGTTGAGATGGAGGGAGTATTTGCTTGAACCTTTTTTGGCAAGCCAGGGTTTTTTTTTTCAGAAACAGCCTCTTTATCTCTTGACGCTACCATTAGGTGAGATATGATGGGTTTGTTTGGTTTGCTTTCTATCCTTGAAACAATTTTGAAGTGGTTTTTTTCTTCAATTCTTCAGAAGGACAAGAGGAAAAGCGAATTCTCGAGCCCTAGGAAGAATCACTCGAGGGAGAACTATGGAAGCCATATAGGAGTCAGGTCCGTACCTCATGATTTAGGTAACGCTCGTAAACGGAAAACACAATATGGACAACAGAGTTCATCATCTCAATCGAAGCCAAGGGGTAGAGGTGGATGGATAACTGAAGATCCTGGTGACTGGGGATCTCCTAAAACCCCATCTAGGTATAAATCTAATGACAGATTCAATGGTGGTAGTGGTTATAACTCAGGATTTCGTAGCAATGGTCGAAAGCTTCAGTATGAAAGCACAGTTGGTTCTAATGGATATCAACACAGGTTTTCAGCATCGAAGTTTGTAAACTCGAGTAGTTATGGCAAAAGAGAATATGGTTGGGATTATTAGTCGTATGCTAAGAAATGCCGTTAAGTTGGTGGCGATCGTAAAGCAGATGATTGGATATTGAAGGCTGATGGTCGATTGTTTTGTCGACCAATGTTCATGAAAGCTTGCAAGTTGGTCTGGTGTACACTTTTTGAAATCAAGTGGGGGTCTGATGATTGGTGTATCTTTAGTAGCATTTTTGTTATTGTTTAGTGTTTGTGGTTATTCTTTCAGATTTTCAAAATAGGTAATATGTTTTTTTTGGGTTTTACATTAACAATTTTTAGTTCAAATATTTAACGTCTTGAAAGGTGCATACTCTTAAATTGATGTGCAAGGTTGTAACCTTATAAGTCCTAAAAGATTGAAATTCAATTGTGTAATGCAAAATAATTGTCACAAAAATAAGTGTTTACAATAAGAAAAAGAGGGAATTGTGGATTTGGTTCTGATATTTTTTTTACTAGGATCCCTATGGTATGTTTATTGTAGATTTTGTTCTTGTGGTATTCAATTTGTTTTGCTCATGGTCTTTCTAACTAAGATCCTTGCTCACAAGATGAAAAGAGTTGAGAACAAATTGGTGAATCGGTACGTAACGTGTGGGAGTTTGATGAGCCTAGATTTGATTGCAAGGCAGTTTTATCAAATCTAAAATGGGATTTTTAGGGTAGTTTTATCTTCTCTGGTTGCTGGGAGATTTGGCTTGCTAGAAATGCATCTGTTCATGATTCAGTTGCTATGTCTTTTTCATCTATTATCAATAAAGTCACGCACTGGTGTAAGGATTTATTGCAGCTTGATTATCCACTCATTCTTCTGGTTTTCATGGTTCTATTTGTTTCCAAGTAATGCATATCCCTATGGTCTCCCCTAATATTCCTAAAGGAAAATGGATCAAATGGGCTCCTCTGTAGTATTAGGTAGTTGGTCAGGTAAAGGCCGACCAAGCCAATGATACTTAAGCTGGTCTTTTTGGATGATCAACCACATTGGGACTGAGACACGGCTCGGACTCTTGTTGGGGGCAGCAATGGGGAATCTTGGACAACGGGTGAAAGCCTGATCCAACAATATCGCGTGAGTGGAGAAGGGCAATGTTGCTTGTAAAGCTCTCTAACTCCGTTAGATCAAGGGCAATTTTAGTCTTTTTGTTTATTATTTTATCTTTCCTATAATAAAGTAAAAACAATATTTTTATACATACAAATATAGACTTGGGATTATGTGAGACCAAGGGTTTTTCATGCGACCCGTAAGACCAATTCTCAACCCTTGGGTTATATCTACAATTTGACAATATGAACATTCATAAACGCCACGAGACTTCTTAATAATCACAAAATTGCCACCGTGCAATTTTAGATCATTAGATCATTAGCTTATAAAGTTGATCAATGAACATAAATTGGTCTTACAGGTCTCACAAAAAACATTTGGTCTCACATGATCCCAAGTATATATATATAAAGAGAGAGAGAGAGAGAGAGAGAGAGAGAGAGAGAACGAGCTTGGTTCAAATGTTAACCAAAATTATTGTATTAACTTTGTTAACCAAGCTCAACCAATGAAAAATAATCTTTTCTTTAGGTTCACATACATCTCATATGTTAATGACAAGGGTAATTAAGTAATTTTACCATTTTGTGTAACTCCCATATCATTAATTGAGAGTTACAAAATATTAAAATCTCATAATTGATGATGATTTAATATTGATCTTGTTTTCACTTTGTGATTATTTTTGAAATTTGATTTATCTATCTATAATGTTATTGAATTTGTGATTGTTAAAAGATTTCCGATAGTAAAGTTTTCGATATCGTCCAAGCTAATATGGAAACAAATCGACAACAATGAGAATGAGAAGGTTAAAATGGTTTACGATGACAATCGGACTTCGAGTTCCGGAAGTGAAGACAATGATCAAAGCGTTTGTATTGGTAATGGATTAATATGATATTGCATTCGTTTTAAACGACATTTCTCATCTTTGACAGTTCTCACTAATCTTGCAAAAAAAGGTGTGCAACTGACATGTTGAACAACTTCTATATATTCAGGAGCTGACTCTGTTGAGAGATTCAATCAGTTTACAGATGAAGACATATGAAGTTAACACATAGTGCATTAGATACATATGAAGACATAGGGACACACATAGACATATGAAGACATATGAACACATCAAAAACCATACAGCCTTAGATGCCTTGATTCATCAGTGTTCATGTCTATTCAAGTCACTAGATGTTCATATGAATCCATATATACACACACAAAACATGTGAAGACATGTGAGCACGTATGAAAACACACAACCCTAGATGTCTTGGTTCATACGTGTTCATGTACATACAACAAAGTTGGCTCATGAATATATAGAAGATGTTCATACGGTTCACATGTTGTTCATACAGTTCACATGCTGTTCATATGTATATATATATATATATATATGTGTGTGTGTGTGCGTGTGTGTATGTGTGTTCATATGGTTCTTACATTAACAAAAAGAATGAGATTTTTTGATTTTGTAACTCCCAATTAATGGTATGGGAGTTACATAAATTTTTTTTTACCTAAATACCCTTTTCTCCTTTGTTCACATATGTTTTTTTGAAATTGTAAATTTAAAAAATTAATTTTTATCATGATTAATCAGAACTGTTTATTGTAAGAATCAATGGCCAAGGTTGGTTAACAAAGTTAACACAATAATCTTGTTTAACATTTGAACCATCCCATATATATATATATA